GGCAAATTCCCGCCGACACGGTAAATCTCCGGATGACATGCATAATTTTCTGTGACACAGCAAATTTACGATGAACCTCTAATTATTTTCCGTTCCGCGCAGATTATCCAAAAATCGCGGTCATTTGCCAAATAGGTCTACCAGTGCTTATTACCACAAAACACAGATCAAGTTTGAATTTGGGTAGTGTCACTTTAGCCATTATTGAGTTATGCCCCTTTATAAATGGAAAAATTGCTTTATCTTCCTTTGTCCATGATTATAGTTGAATCAACTACAATTAATACTTTATACAATGCAATGTTGAATTTTGACTTCCACTGATAAAACACACATCAAGTTGAATTTGGGTAGTGTCACTTTAGCCATTATTGAGTTATGCCCCTTTATAAATCGAAAGATTGCAAAATGTTTAGTTTCCATTCTGTAACTTAAGTTTGCCCCAACCAAACATTATGAAACCTATACACAATATTCATTACCACAAAACTAAGATCAAGTACAAATTTTTTGTTTCCGTTTCTAACTTTAGTTTGCCTCAACCAAATGTTATGAAACTTATACACAATGCTTATTACTACAAAAATATCTAAGTATCTATGGAACAGATGAGCATGCGTAATTGCATATCGAGCAGATGAATACAAACCAACTAATTGTGATACATGTCTTATCAATATATTCTGAGGCTTTAAAACATTATTTGAAATTTCAATAATTTTCTGTATTGTATCTTCAGGTAGGAAAACTCTAAACAAAACTGAGTCTATTATGTATCCCAAAAATGTAATCCTCTGTGATGGGATAAATACAGATTTTTCCATATTTATATTAAAACCAACTGACTGAATGAATTGTTGGACTTTCTTTGTGTTAATAACACTTGTAGAAAAACTTTCAGCTTGTAATAAAGAGTCGTCAATATAAAAGTATGAATCTATTCCTATACTTCGAATGTGGGAAAATATGACCTTCAAAATTTTTGTGAAAACTCTGGGAGCAGATGCTAATCCAAAAGGTAAACACTGAAAAGCATATAATTTACCATCCCAAACAAATTTTAAAAATTTTCTGTCTGATTCCTTAATTGGAACTGAAAAATATGCATCAGTCAAATCAAGGGATGTAAAAAAGTTCCCTTTTTGTATTCCTTTCAAGATTAAATCTAAATTCTCTTGTTTGAAATGATGATAAGTGACAAATTCATTTAATTGTCTAAGGTTAATGACAGGACGAAATTTTCCACTTTTCTTTTTTTACCAAAAACAAATTTGAAATAAATTCACCATCTTCATGACAGACTTCTTTTATTGCACCTTTTGATAACAATTCTGAAACTTCTTCCTGAATTAAATTAATTTCAGTATCATTGAACTTAATAGGTGTAGGAATTTTTCCTTGAAAAGGCTTTATCAAACTCAATTTTATGCCCCATCACAGTTGACAAAACCCATTTGTCATGTGTTAAAGTTTTCCATTTAGAAATAAATTTTTTAAGTATACCAGCAGTTTTTATTTTTCTACTGCTTACCTTTAATACTTGTTGAATTTTTGTCGAGCCTTCGACTTTTGTCGAAAAAGCGAGACATAGCGATCCTACATTCCGTCGTCGTCGTCGGCGGCGTCCACAAATATTCACTCTGTGGTTAAAGTTTTTGAAATTTTAATAACTTTCGTAAACTATCCTGGATTTCTACCAAACTTGGACAGAAGCTTGTTTATGTTCATAATATTATATTCAAAAGTAAATTTTGTAAAAAAAAAATTCCATTTTTTCCGTATTTTACTTATAAATGGACTTAGTTTTTCTGCCAGGAAACATTACATTCACTCTGTGGTTAAAGTTTTTGAAATTTTAATAACTTTCTTAAACTATCCTGGATTTCTACCAAACTTGGAAAGAAGCTTGTTTATGATCATAAGATAGTATCCAGAAGTAAATTTTGTAAAAAAAAAAATCCATTTTTTCCGTATTTTACTTATAAATGGACTTAGTTTTTCTGCCAGGAAACATTACATTCACTCTGTGGTTAAAGTTTTTAAAATTTTAATAACTTTCTTAAACTATCCTGGATTTCTACCAAACTTGGAAAGAAGCTTGTTTATGATCATAAGATAGTATCCAGAAGTAAATTTTGTAAAAAAAAAAATTCTATTTTTTCCGTATTTTACTTATAAATGGACTTAGTTTTTCTGCCAGTTAACATTACATTCACTCTGTGGTTAAAGTTTTTAAAATTTTAACAACTTTCTTAAACTATCCTGGATTTGTACCACACTTGGACAGAAGCTTGTTTATGATCAAAAGCTAGTATCTAGAAGGAAATTTTGATAAAATTTTGTTCCATTTTTTCCGTATTTTACTTATAAATGGACTTAGTTTTTCTTCCAGTCAACATTACATACAGTCTGCAGTTTAAGTATTTAAAACATTTATTAGATTCATAAATTATCCTGGATTTTTACCAAACTTGGACAGAAGCTACTTACAATCAAAAGATAGTATAGAGAGGAATATTCTTATTTATTTTTTTCCACATTTTTGTTGAGCCTGCGATTAACAGTAAAAGTAGGCGAGACACTGGGTTCCGCGGAACCCTTACAAATTTTTTCTGGCAGTAACCTCTTCCTTGGCCTCTGTTTGAGTATGGAACTCTTTGATTTCCATGTCCTCTGGAGTATCCTCGTCTCCCTAAAAAACGACCTTGTGACTGATTGTAAGGGTATCGGCCTCTGCCACCTCTGTTACTATAACTTCTCCCTGAGATGTTTTTGTTTATCTTATTCACTTCATTTATTTGATTTAACTTCTTTCCAATTTCATCACCAAAAAGATTGGTACCAATTTCTTCATTCTTGTTACACAACTGGTGGAATTTTCTGTCTATGTATGGTTTGAGCATTAGCTTCCTTTTAACCGACAACTCAAAATGAGTATTACAAAGAACAGTCATAGCTTTAGACACAGCTTCTCTCATCAACTTTATGTCAGGTTTTTATACGACCGCAAATATATTTGGTATATTGGTATGACGTTGGCGTCGTCGTCGTCGTCGTCTGGCGTCGTCCGAAGACACATTGGTTTTCGCACTCTAACTTTAGTTAAAGTGAATGGATCTCTATGAAATTTTACCATAAGGTTCAATACCACAAAAGGAAGGTTGGGATTGATTTTGGGGGTTATGGTACAAACAGTTAAGGAATAAGGGGCAAAAAAGGGGCCAAAAATAAGCATTTTTGTAACTTCCAGACATAACTTGTGTGTTAGTGTATGGATCTCTCTGACATTGTACCACAAGGTTCCATATCACACAGGGAATGCTGGAATTGATTTTGGGGGTAATTGCCTCTTAATATTAGGAATTAGGGGCCAAAAAAGGGGCAAAAAACAAGCATTTTTCTAGTTTCATGACAATAACTTGTGTGTAAGTGTATGGATCTTTCTGAAATTGTACTAAAAGGTTCCATATCACAAAGGGAAAGCTGGAATTGAGTTTGGAGGTAATTGCCCAAAACGTTTAGGAATAAGGGGCCAAAAAGGGGCCAAAAATAAGCATTTTTCTAGTTTCCAGACAATAACTTGTGTTCAAGTGTATGGATCTCTCTGAAATTGTACCACAAGGTTCCATATCACACAGGGAATGCTGGGATTGATTTTGGGGGTAAAGAATCATTTTCCTTTTTTTTTCTTTTTTTCCTTTTTTTTTTCTTTTAAAATTTTCCATTTTAAGTTGGTTATTTCTGTTTTATATTTAAAAGCAAATAATAATGATATGGTAGGAGATACACCCACCAAACAGGATGTGTAAATTATTATATAATAAGTATTGTGCAATAGCAAGAAATTTTCAATTGCACAGTATTGCACAATAGCAAGAAATCTTCAATTGCACAGTATTGCGCAATAGCAAGAAATCTTCAATTGCACAGTATTGTGCAATAGCAAGAAATATCCAATAGCACAATATTGTGCAATAGCAAGAAATTGTCAATTGTACAGTATTGCGCAATAGCAACAAATATTCAATTGCACAGTATTGTGCAAAAGAAGATACTTCGTATAAATTGCTTATTTCTTGACCAATTTCAATGGGGTTTTATTCTTGAATTCTTGGGGTTCTTTAATATGCTGATTCTAACCGTGTATTAAGTTTTTGGATTTTTATGCCCCGTTTTTAAATTGGTCCACATTGATGGTCCAAAGGGTCCAAAATTAAACTTTGTTTGATTTCATCAAAAATTGAACTATTGGGGTTCTTTGATATGCCGAATCTAACCGTGTATTTAGATTCTTAATTTTTGGTTCCGTTTTCAAATTGGTCTACATTAAGGTCCAAAGGGTCCAAAATTAAACTTAGTTTGATTTTAACAAAAATTGAATTCTTAGGGTTCTTTGATATGCTGAATCTAAACATGTATTTAGATTTTTGATTATGGGCCCAGTTTTCAAGTTGGTCCAAATCGGGGTCCAAAATTAAACTTTGTTTGATTTCAACAAAAATTGAATATATGGGGTTCTTTGATATGCTGAATCTAACCATGTATTTAGATTTTTGATTTTTGGGCCCCATTATCAACTTTGTCCACATTGAGGTCAAAAGGGTCCAAAATTAAACTTTGTTTGATTTCAACAAAAATTGAATTCTTGGGGTTCTTTGATATGCTGAATCTAACCATGTATTTAGATTTTTGATTTTTGGGCCCCATTATCAACTTTGTCCACATTGAGGTCAAAAGGGTCCAAAATTAAACTTTGTTTGATTTCATCAAAAATTGAATTCTTGGGGTTCTTTGATATGCTGAATCTAACCATGTATTTAGATTTTGGATATTGGACCATAATAGGTGAATGTCCAATTTAAAATTTTTAAGCTCTTAGACCACATTCATTCTGTGTCAGAAACCTATGCTGTGTCAAATATTTAATCACAATCCAAATTCAGAGCTGTATCAAGCTTGAATGTTGTGTCCATACTTGCCCCAACTGTTCAGGGTTCGACCTCTGCGGTCGTATCAAGCTGCGCCCTGAGGAGCATTTTATTTAGTTTTCAGAATACCTGCCAGAGTTATCACAGGGATCATCCCGTATGCTAGAAGTCTCTGAAGATTCTGGAGACCTAAATCAGATGATTTTGTCTTGCGGTCTAAAAATTGCCATATTTCTGGGTTAACTGGCGGCACAACAAGGCTTTTGCAATTTGAGGGCACCTTCAGTTCATTGACCATTGACGAAACATCTGTTTTCTTTTTACAAATGTTGTCACAGACTTTAGAGATGGATTCACATACCTCTTCACCAAATCTTTCATCGCCTTCGAAAATACGGGGCAATTCATAATCAAAATCATTATTCTCATCTGAAGAGACTTCACTCTGATCATTACAGTTACCATCATCACTAAAGATAGAAAAGTTCCCATTCTCAATGTTATTGTTACATGTATCATAAACAGGATAATCAGACTCTTCTTCTTGGTCAGAATACTGATTATTGTGAATATTCTCAGTCCTAGCTGTCTCATTATTTTGTCTAGTTCTTTGCAGACTATTGTCTCTCTGTGTGTTCCCAGTAAGGGTGGACCTCAAAGAATCTGTCAACCCTTGAAATAATGATTTTATCAGTTCTGTATTGTCAGTTTTTGATTTTTTAGCCTTTGGTTTAGTAGTTTTTGTTTGTACTTTTGGTTTGGCTTTCTTTTTCATAGGGCTTACTGTTACTCTACTACCCGAGGGTATTTCAACTGATTCGGAAGTTTTACGTTTAAGGGCCTTGCCCTTTCCGCTATTCTTTACACTTTTTCCTTTTCTAGAGGTATTCTTCTCAGGAGACTTGACCGGTGCTTGTGTAGCGGCCATTTGCATTTCGAGTGTAACTACAGGTTCTTCCGGAATTTGCACGGTTTCAGCTCCGCTTTTCTGTGGGGTCGAAAACCCAGAAAAAGAAGCATCTATTTCTTCTTCAGATGCGAAAAGCTTTAAAACTTGCTCATCGTTAAGTTCATCATCAAAATTATCGTGGTCCGAGTCGGACTCACTGTCACTCAAACTATGACAACGTGACATTATTCAGTGTCGGATTTTTATATCTCGACCAAATTACTTTTTATCAATACCGAGTCGGTAAATTAAAGGTTAAGTAAATAATCTTAACAGAGTCTGTTAGATCTTTACAGGCGTGCTGCCTTTAAAATAAAGAGGACACTTACAGGTGTACCTCCACTTATATAGTACTGGTCAATTTAAAAACCAGCGAGCTGTGAAAAAAAGGCGTGCGACCTTCACATAAAGTAAAGGTGCAATTATTAACCCGAGCAAAGCCCGGGATTGTGAAATATAATGGATTTTTTTACTTTAGATGAACAATAATGAATAAGAAATGCTTTTGTGCAGTGGAAAATTATGCGATTAAGTGGAGTTGACTGTACTAATTTGTTAATTTTACAACTGTTCATTATAAAGGGAAGTAATATTGTTACCAAATATAGGCTCATTCAGAAAAAAACAATTAAAAATATTTTTTGTTAATGTTACATATTTGTATTGTTTATTGTTTATTTCTTGTATTTAGTAGCAGTCAGATTGTTTGATGGCTCAAATGAGGGAAAGTTTTTCCAGTGTTATTGTTTTGAATCATTACTTTATAAAAATTGAACATTAAATGGCACAATAATGAGAAAATCTTAAAACTCAAATAAGTAGAAGCAAGTCAGTAAAAAATCTCCAAACTTAACAGTTTTTGAGTCCACTACAACATGTATTTTTTCTTAAACTTTTGTGATTCAGGCTGACGAATGAACTTTTTTGGTAAAATCTTTGAAAAACAATTAGGTGATATTTACAAAATGTAAACATATGAAAATGTGATGAATGTTAACTCTCATTCCATTGCAGATGACATAATCAGACTTAACAGTCAGTCAGGGAGAGGTGGTAGAGGTCGTAGAAATCAAGGTCGTGGTGGGAGATCTGATAGAGGGGGTAGAGGAGGAAACAGACAAGACGATGGACTCAGAGGGACAAGATATGGAGGAGTACAGAAAGGCAGAGGGCAAAGAAATTTTAGAGGGTTAAAGAGAAACTTGGGTGCTAAAGCTTTACAGAGACAATTATCAGGAGTTAGTCCACTTAATAGACAAAAGGTAAACCAATTACTTATTGGTTAAATGCACCCTTATTTCCATAATGAGGACTTACAGATTAAGAATGCATTTTGTTCTGACTGACCAACATTTTGCCAAAGGACTGCATCTGGAAAAGGAATATTGTGGCCTGTTGACACATTTAAAAAAAGTAAGGAGATGTTGTGTGAACGTCAATGAGGCAACTATACACCAGAGACCAAAGGACTAGGAAGTGAACAACTATAGAATGGAAACACGGAATATAGGTCACCATTTAAACCCATACCATAAAGTAAGCTATAAAAGGCTCAATAGTTAGGTTGATATTTCTGGAATAGGAGTTTCCTATATAAAAGACCAGGATTTTTCCAATCCTTTCTAGATATTTTTTGACGTTTTGCTCCCATATTTTTTTATATTTTTTTTTTACATTTCTGTACGGACTTTGGCTTGAAATAAGGGAAATCTTGAAAATCTGTTGCAAACCCACAAAGGACCAGTATTTTTCCTCAATATTTCAATATAGAGTTTTTTGCAACTGCTACAAGAATCGCAGAAGCAAGAACATTCTGTTTCCAGCATCAGCAGTTTCAACAGTTGTAAATGTTTGTCACACAGGGAACTATATGGCTGTAATGATACACCTACCAATGATACGAAACAATACAAGGGTGACAATACGATACAATACAAGGGTCACAATACGATACATTTAGATACGATACATAATCAATACTTTGAATTAATACATGTACTCATGTAGTCTAATATACCAAACTACCTTTATTCTGTTTTTTTTTTGTGTTTAGTAAACCTGCTGTTCCTTTAGTGTAGCTGAAATACATAAAGATTTTAGATGTTTATTTATTCAACATTCAACAGCCATTTTCATAGAGACATTTAACAATTTGTAGTTTTGAGTGGCCAATAGAAAATTATAACTTCAAATTTATCAAGACTGGAACCGAACTGAAATATGGATGAAATAAATCAAAAATGGAACCAAACAAAAATATGGTGGTTCATTGTTTCTTCAGTGAATAGTTTCACCACTACTATATATGACTACAGGCAATCCATATCTCTGGGTTAACTATTTATTTACTTTAAAGATAAGGATGTATTCCTCTGACCTCTGGGTTAACAATTTATTTACTTTAAAGATAAGGATGTATTCCTCTGACCTCTGGGTTAACAGTTTATTTACTTTAAAGATAAGGATGTATTCCTCTGACCTCTGGGTTAACAGTTTATTTACTTTAAAGATAAGGATGTATTCCTCTGACCTCTGGGTTAACAGTTTATTTACTTTAAAGATAAGGATGTATTCCTCTGACCTCTGGGTTAACAGTTTATTTACTTTAAAGATAAGGATGTATTCCTCTGACGTTTTAGTCTTGTTGAAATCTCGTTCTGGAATTATTTCCAAAACATGTGATACAAGTGGAAAATATCAATGAATTTTAAAAATATCATAATCAAACTTAACTCTGTGAAAAAATTGTGTATTTACAATAAGTAGTTTTTATACGACCGCAAAAATAAAAAAAAATTTGGTCGTATATTGGTATCACGTTGTCGTCGTCTTCGTCAGCGTCGTCCGAAGACAGATGGTTTCCGGATAATAACTTTAGTATAAGTAAATAGAAATCAATAAAATTTTAACACAAGGTTTATAACCACAAAAGGAAGTTTGGGATTGATTTTGGAGGTTATGGTCCCAAAGGTTTAGGAATTGGGGGCCAAAAAAGGGGCCCAAATAAGCATTTTTGCAGTTTCCAGACAATAACTTGTGTTTAAGTGTATGAATCTCTCTGAAATTGTACCACAAGTTTCAATACAACAAAGGGATGGTTATGGGGGGTTATGGCTCAAACCATTTAGCAATTGGGGCAAAAAAGGGGGAAAACAAGGGTTTTTATGGTTAAAGGACAATTTAGACTATTTAAAAGCAGTGTAAGGGAGGTAATCCAATCCATTTAAAGAATACTATTGTATATATGTTTGATTACCTCCCTTACACTGCTTGTAAATTATGTATTAAGAAATGATGATTGTCTTGAGATGATTAGCTGTAAATTTATTTTTAGAAGTTACTATTTTAATTAATATTAATTTTAACCATGACTGTATGTCATTTTATATTTTAATATTTTATGATGTATTTAATTGAGCAGTTATGGTTGCAAACTCCATTAGAAATTTGAATTGAGATTATTTTTGGAATAAGGGAAAGGGGGAGTTGAAAAAATTTATTTTTGGGGGGGGGGGGGGGGGGGGGTAAATAAGAATTTGTGAGGGGGGAGATACAATTTTTTTCATTTCAGATTTCAGAAATTAAAAAGAAAATTTCTTCAAATATTTTTTTTAGGGGGGTTAATATTCAACAGGGAAAGGGGGAGTTGAAAAAAATGGGGGGGGGGGGGGGGGGTAAATAAGAATGTGTGGGGGGGGGGGGGGCTACAATTTTTCTCATTTCAGATTTCAGAAATTAAAAAGAAAATTTCTTCAAATTTTGCAACAGCATAGTCATGATAGTGTATTGCACAAAAGCAAAAAATTAAATATAAATTCAAATCATACAACCAATTTTAAGTTCTTTGACTAAACCTATTATGTGTCAAATATTTAATTACAATCCAAATTCAGACCTGTATCAAACGCGAATAATGTGTCCATTTTCCAGGGTTTAAGCTAGGATTTTGAGGGCTTTAGTCACTTTTGCGCGATATCAAAATCAACGTTATTTTGGGTAACAGCAAGGGACCAAGGATGTATTCATATTACTAGCTATACATCTTTGTCAGACTTTGAAGATCTAAGGCATCAATTTACTAGGCAGTAATTGCATGATTTGACTGATGTTTCACTAAAATATGAAGATTAGGATATAAGATCTGAAAATCTAGTTCAAAATTAAACTTCAATTAGTTTCAGGGGACGTTCCTGATCAACAAAAGTTGGGTTCCGTTTTTTGAAACCAGGAATCACAGTATAAACATGATAAATAAACTTGTTAAACTTTGTAAGACTATTACACTGCATAATCATTATCCTTATAAAACGTTTAAATCGATATTTTGAATTAATTTCTATAAAGTTGGAACCAAGGATTTGTAAAAATTCACATGGAACGATTCCAATAACTGTAAATTGTAAATTAATCGAGAATTGATCACGTTTACTTTCAATTTTCAAATGAAATGTAAACGGGAAGTGACAAGTAGATAATAAATTCAGAATGTATCAGGATTCATCTACGGATTGGTTCGTGTTTAAAAAAAGGCAGGAAATTATCATTTTTTTATTTCAATTTGCTTAGTAAGAACTATATTTGTCTCTCTCATTTATTTCGGCACTAAATTAATTTCTTATTTATCCTTTTAGTGTCTATAGGAATACTTTCACGCATGCGCAGTATATCGTAAAAGAAGCACCTGTTTGACTCGTTGATGATGATGGAAGGTTTTAACGTGAAAACCTTTCTGAACGTTTTGAATAAAGTTCTATCTTTTTAATCGAAATTGAAAGTTTTATATCAAAAATGACGAAAATACGATCATTTGACGGAACTACGACAAACGAACTGCAAATTATGATCGTTTTAGAAATATTGAAATTAAAAAGAGAACTGTCAGGGGGGAAACAATTTTGTTCAAATGACGAAACTAGGATAAACGAACTGCAAATTGTGGTCGTTGGCCTTCAGAAATATTGAAATTAAAATGCAGACTGACTAACTTTACTGGGGAAAATAATTAACCGGATTAGTGACCCATCCGATGGCGATAAGCGGATTAGCTGTAATCACAACTTTATAACACCTGTTGTAAATGTTAATTAGCTGAGGGTCATAAACTTGTCAGAAACATGTAGACAGGTAGATCTATAGCATTTTCATGCGAAAATATTTTTACACTTTCCAAATTTAAGTGACGAGATTGATTTGAAATACTTTCGTCATTTTGAAAACAGGTTTGTAAATAACGAAAGTGACGAGCGCTAGCAAAATCACTGCATTTTGACCGCAACTTTTCAGGGTTGGACATCTGCGGTCGTATCCAGCTGCGCTCAGCGAAGCAATTTATTGAGTAATAAAATTTTCAAATTTTATAAACAATCAAGTCAGTCTCATTAGCAAAAATGTTGAGAAAATGTATGAGGGGTACAAGAAATGATTTTACCAGAAACATGTACATCCCATATCAATTTTTTCTTTTCAAATTTCTCAGATATATATATATATATTTTTATACGCCCGCAAAAAATTTTTGAGACACATTGGTTTTCGCACTCTAACTTTAGTTTAAGTGAATGGATCTCTTTGAAATTTTACCATAAGGTTCAATACCACAAAAGGAAGGTGGGGATTGATTTTGGGGGTTATGGTACCAACAGTTAAGGAATTAGGGGCCAAAAATAAGCATTTTCTAGTTTCCAGACAATAACTGTGGAACGGTGTATGGATCTCTCTGAAATTATACTACAAGTTTCCATACCACAAAGGGATGGTTAGGATTTACTTTGGGGGGTTATGGCTCAAACCGTTTAGGAATTAGGGGCAAAAAAGGGGGAAAAACAAGGTTGTCCTGGTTAATGGACAAATACTTTAGTACAAAACATAATTTAAAGCAGTGTAAGGGAGATAAATCAAATACATCATTGAAATTATCTCCCTTACACTGCTTTTGAATTATGTATAAAGTAATGGTTAATGAACAATTAAGATAATTTAAAACAGTGTAAGGGAGGTAATCCAAATACAACATTTTGGTTACTTCCCTTACACTGCTTTTAAATTATGTTTAAAGAAATGCATATTTATAAAGGAAGACCAGTAAAAATATCTGCAAATGTTGCATCTTTTTTTTTTACAAAAAAATCCATATGAAAGATTTGACACTATATTTTAAATTCTATTATAAAATAGATTAAGTTAGCACTATGGTAAATTTAAATGGGTAATTATGGTTGCAAACTCCATTGGATATTTGAATTGAGATTATGACCATATCTTGAGGGAAAGAATTTTTTTGGGGGAAAAAAAGGTGGGGGGAGGGGGGGGGTTGTAAAAAGAAATTGTGGGGGGTCAATTTTTTCTCATTTCAGATTTTAGAAATTAAAAAGAATTATTCTTCAAATATTTTTTTTTTTTTCAAATTTCAAATATTGAAAAATTTCAAGAAGTAATCTTTAATTGCACAGTATGGCGCATTAGATTTGTAAAATCTTTGACCACATTTATTTATTTGTTATGCCGAATCTAACCATGTATTTAGATTTTTAATTTTGGGTCCAGTTTTCAAATTGGTCTACATTAAGGTCCAAAGGGTCCAAAATTAAACTTTGTTTGATTTTAACAAAAATTGAATATATGGGGTTCTTTGATATGCTGAATCTAAACATGTATTTAGATTTTTGATTTTTGGCCCAGTTTTCAAGTTGGTCCAAATTGGGGTCCAAAATTTAACTTTTTTTGATTTCAACAAAAATTGAATATATGGGGTTCTTTGATATGCTGAATCTAACCATGTATTTAGATTTTTTATTTGTGGGCCCCGCTATCAAATTGGTTCATATTGAGGTCAAAATGGTCCAAAATTAAACTTTGTTTGATTTCATCAAAAATTGAATTATTGGGGTTCTTTGATATTCCAAATCTAACCGTGTATTTAGATTTTTAATTTTGGGTCCCGTTTTTTAAATTGGTCTACATTAAGGTCCAAAGGGTCCAAAATTAAATTTAGTTTGATTTTAACAAAAATTGAATTCTTGGGGTTCTTTGATATGCTGAATCTAAACATGTGTTTAGATTTTTGATTATGGGCCCAGTTTTCAAGTTTATCTAAGTTGGGGTCCAAAATTAAACTTTGTTTGATTTCAACAAAAATTGAATATATGGGGTTCTTTGATATGCTGAATCTAACCATGTATTTTGATTTTGGACATTGGACCATAATAGGTAAATTAAAAAAATTCAAGTTCTTAGACCACATTCTTTCTGTGTCAGAAACCTATGCTGTGTCAAATATTTAATCACAATCCAAATTCAGAGCTGTATCAAGCTTGAATGTTGTGTCCATACTTGCCCCAACTGTTCAGGGTTCGACCTCTGCGGTCGTATCATGCTGCGCCCAGCGAAGCATTTTATTTCAATCATTTATAACAAAGAAGTTGAAATAATATGCTTTTTGTTCTAAAAAATGAGAAAAATCCCAAATTTACAAAATTGACAGCATGGTAAATTTGACACGAAAAAGCAACAAAATTTTATAAAGTTTTTTTATATTTAAAATTAAAACACCTACCTATAGTAATTGTCGACCTTGCAAATTTTGTTGCAGAAAGCTCAACATAGGGATAGTGATCCGGCGGCAGTGGCGGCGGCGTTAGCTAACTTCTTAAAAGCTTAATATTTCAGAAGGTAGAATACCTGGATCCTTCATACTTTGTATATAGATACCTAATGTTATGAAGTTTCCATCTGTCATATGTCCATTGTTCTTGACATCATTTTCATGGTTCAGTGACTACTTGAAAAAAAGTTAAGAATTTTAGTATTCTTAATTTCTCTCTTATTATGAGTAATAGGATAACTATATTTGGTATGTGCGTACCTTGCAAGGTCCTCATGCCTGTCAGACAGTTTTCACTTGACCTCAACCTCATTTCATGGATCAGTGAACAAGGTTAAGTTTTGGTGGTCAAGTCCATATCTCAGATACTATAAGCAATAGGTCTATTATATTTGGTGTATGGAATGATTGTAAGGTGAACATGTCCAACTGGCAGGTGTCATCTGACCTTGACCTCATTTTCATGGTTCATTGGTTATAGTTAAGTATTTGTGTTTTGGTGTGTTTTTCTTGTACTGTATGCAATAGGTCTACTGTTTGGTGTATGGAATGAGTGTAAGGTGTATATGTCCAACTGCCAGGTGTCATCTGACCTTGACCTCATTTTCATGGTTCATTGGTTAAAGTTAAGTTTTTGTGTTTTGGTCTGTTTTTCTTATACTGTATAAAATAAATCAACTATATTTGGTGTATGAAAATATTTTATGATGTACATGTCAGTCTGGCATGTTTTAATTTGACCTTGACCATGTTGACCTCATTTTTACGGTTCATTGCTCAAAGTTAAGTTTTTGATTTTGGTCTATTTTTCTAATACTTTCAGCAATAGGTCAACTATATTTGGATTATGGAATGATTGTAAGGTGTACATGTCCAACTGGCAGGTGTCATCTGACCTTGACCTCATTTTCATGGTTCAGTGCACGTGGTCAAAGTTAAGTTTTTTAGTTTTGGTCCTTTTTTCTTATACTATATACAATAGGTGAACTATATTTGGTGTATGGAAATATTTTAGGACGTACATGTCTGTCTCGCAGGTTTTATCTGACCTCAGTGTTAAAATTGGTGTTTTGGTCTATTTTTGTTCAACTATAAGCAATAGGTCAACTATATTTGGTGTATGGAATGTTTATCAGGTGTTTATGTCTGTCCGCCAGGTATCATATGACCTTAACCCCTTTTACATGGCTCATTGGTCAGTGTTAAGTTTTAATGCTGAACTTTGTTTCTTATTAAAAATAAGCAATAGGTCAACTATATTTGGTGTATGGAATGATTGTAAGGCGTATCTGTCTGTCTGGCAGGGTTCATATGACCTTGACCTTATTTTCATGATTCATAGGTCAATGTTAGTTTTTTTCATTCTTCACTGCCATCTTTAATCACAATAATCAATATCAATGGTATATCACTAAGTTATTTCACTCTTAACCACAGTTATCCAACATATCTTCATATAGCGGATAATAACCTAAACAATTAGTAGTATGAAGACGCTATGATAGTTGTCTTCATCAGGCCTGGCAGCAGCTTTAGCGTTGATTCAGGCATCAGCAGCAGCGACATCTCATTATTTACAGCTTAAAATTTATAATGTATGTCTGATAGCATTTACTTTCAACATAATTTCAATTAGAAATACACGACAGGCGAGACATTTCTGTGTGTCCACTCTTGTTTTAAGTTGAATTTATTCAGATTGGTCCACTTCATCTTTAGTGAAAGTATGAAAAAAAGTTTAATTGTGAAACTGATTTTTTTCATGATAATAGCCCAAAAATAGCTAAAAATTGATGAAAAATGGGAAAATCATCAAAATTGGGTACTTTCAAATGGCCGTAGCAAAAAAGTGCACCACCATATGATTTTTTCTTCACCAATTATTTTTTTACAGACATATAAACCCAAAAATCAGGTTAAAAAAAGTTTAATTCTAGAAATTTTTGGCTCCTCAGACATTTGTCAGAGGTGTACATCCTTAAGCAACATTGGGTTAGGCAAACATCTTGTCTACTTGACAGCAAACATCTATCCATCTATATATATATATTGATATAAAATAAATTGGGTGCAGGTTTTCCCATGAAAAAATATTGTTAGTAGAGGTTACAGATTAATTGACTATAGTAGATATTTGTGAGCATTTTCAAACACCGTACATTTAACAAGTTTAATGATGACAAAATTAAGGTAAAATTTAATAAAATTTCCAGATCCTTGGATTTCAGTTGCATTTATACAATGTATGTATGACAGGAACCAGTCTCTGGCAAACAGGAAGTCTATTTTCATATCCCTCTTTGGAACAGTGACATACATGTATCTCAATTAGATGACATCATACAGATAATAACATTAAAGGCACCACTTTTACTGCATTTCGACAATAAATGTCTTGTCAGTGATGCTCAAGCCCAAAATATTTGAAAATCCAAAACTTTTTCAAAATTTTAAGAGCTGATAAAACCAAAAAAAGACAAAATGTATAAGGGTTTTGATAAAGCTTTTACAACCATGATTGATACCTTATTCATCAGGGATGGCAGATACAGCATTATTTAGGGGGTACAAGGGGTTTGATAAAGCCTTTACAACCATGACTAATAACTTATTTATCAGGGATGGCTGATACAGCATTATTTAGGGGGTACAAGGGGTTTGATAAAGCCTTTACAACCATGACTAATAACTTATTCATCAGGGATGGCAGATACAGCATTATTTAGGGGGTACAAGGGGTTTGATAAAGCCTTTACAACCATGACTAATAACTTATTCATCAGGGATGGCAGATACAGCATTATTTAGGGGGTACAAGGGGTTTGATAAAGCCTTTACAACCATGACTAATAACTTATTCATCAGGGATGGCAGATACAGCACTATTTAGGGGGTACAAGGGGTTTGATAAAGCCTTTACAACTGTGACTGATATCTGATTCATCAGGGATGGCAGATACAGCACTATTTAGGGGGTACAAGGGTTTTGATAAAGCCTTTACATCCTTGACTAATAACTTATTCATCAGGGATGGCAGATACAGCATTATTTAGGGGGTACAAGGGGTTTGATAAAGCCTTTACAACCGTGACTAATAACTTATTCACCAGGGATGGCAGATACAGCATTATTTAGGGGGTACAAGGGGTTTGATAAAGCCTTTACAACCATGACTAATAACTTATTCATCAGGGATGGCAGATACAGCATTATTTAGGGGGTACAAGGGGTTTGATAAAGCCTTTACAACCATGACTAATAACTTATTCATCAGGGATGGCAGATACAGCACTATTTAGGGGTACAAGGGGTTTGATAAAGCCTTTACAACCGTGACTAATAACTTATTCATCAGGGATGGCTGATGCAGCACTATTTATGGGGTACAAGGGGTTTGATAAAGCCTTTACAACTATGACTGATATCTAATTCATCAGGGATGGCAGATACAGCATTAGTGTTATTGATTGTATTATAATTCATCAGGGATTGCTGATACAACACTTATTGCTATTGATTATTACACACACAATATACTTATCTATCATGATCTATTAGGTATATAAAAAGAAATGTTAATTTATCTTTCATGTTCAGAAGTCTGGACATCAACAGAACCAACAACAAAATCGGCAAGGACAGCAGCGTTATTTCTCACAAAATTCATGGCAGCAACAAAGCAGAAAAGGTCAAAATAGACAAGTGGTACCAAATCAGAGTCCAAGGCAAAATAGAATAGGCTTACAAAATAGACAAAGACAACAAGGTCAAAACCAACGACAAAATAGACAAATTCAACAAGGACAAATCCCAAGGCAAAATATGCAGCAAGGATTTTATCAGCATGATTCTAGACCCAACCGTGGAAGAGGGCGAGGTGGTTTACAAGGAGGAGGTGCACGTAGGCAAAATTTAGGAGTGAGGAATAACATTAATAATAATATAATGAATTTATCCAAGAAAAAGACGGAAGCATTGAAAGCACTTAAAAAAGCAAGGCAAACACTGCAGAAAATTAATCAGCAACAAAATCAAGGACAGCAGATTGTTGGATTTAAACGGAAAAACAGTTTACATACATCTATGTCCTCTTTGGTATGTATAAATACATTTCCTCTCTAGTATGTATAAATACATCTATTTCATCTATGGCATGTATAAATAAATTAATGTCCTCTCTGGTATGTATAAATATATTTATGTCCTCTCTGGTATGTATATATAAATACATCTATGTCCTCTTTGGTATGTATAAATACATTTATGTCCTCTTTGGAATGTATAAATACATCAATATCCTCTCTGGTATTTATAAATACATCTAGGTGATCTGTGGTATGTTTAAATATATATATGTCCTCTCTGGTATGTATAAATACATCTTTTTACTCTCTGGTATGTATAAATAAATCTGTCATCTCTGGTATGTATAACTATATCTATGTCCTCTCTGGTATGTATAAATACATATATGTCCTCTCTGGTATGTATAAATACATCTATGGTATGTATAAATTCATATATGTCCTCTCTGTTATGTATAAATATAGATTCTACCACTGTATCGAGTGTGATACGATATTTATCCACTCGAGTCAGTTAAATTTTTAAATATTTAAAATTTAACTGTCGAGAGTGGATAAATATCGTATTACACGAGATTTGGTGGTGGAATCTGTTTCTCTAATGATTTTCAAACAATATGCAGGCAAGCTTATTCCGTCTTTTCGAATGATCTGTGTTCTTTCTATGGGACGTCATCTGGCATGGTTGCCTTTTTTCATGCCGTCACAATAGGAAATTCAGAGGAAAGCAAGTAAATTCGACGTCATAATCGGATTTTAACCAATGAAGAACTGAGATCAAACGAACCAGACGTTGATTAAATTTTTTTATACAATGGGTGCAGAAAGGGATAAATTGACGAAGAATTAGAGAAATACATATATGTCCTCTCTGGTATGTATAAATACATATATCTGATGTTCAGTAGTTGTCGTTTGTTGATGTGGTTCACAAGTGTTTCTCTTTCTCGTTTTTTATATAGATTAGACTGTTGGTTTTCCCGTTTGAATGGTTTTACACTAGTAATTTTTGGGGCCCTTTATAGCTTGCTGTTCGGTTTGAGCCAAGGCTCTGTGTTGAAGACCGTACTGTGACCTATAATGGTTTACTTTTATAAATTTTTACTTGGATGGAGGGTTGTCTCATTGGCACTCATACCACATCTTATATCTATGTCCTCTCTGGTATGTATAAATACATATATGTCCTCTGGTACATGTATGTGTATTTATAAATCTTATATGAATCTGACATGTCTGGCATTGATATCAATTTCATGCTCTGGACAGTGGTCAGGTTGGCTTTCCAGAGTGAGGTCTGTTGTTCAGTCACTATGCCTTATAAGTATACAATATTGTCTGTTGGTAAGTTTGTTCATCCCAAAATTAGTTTCTGTTCTCTAACTTTACTTTGCCACAACCAAATGTTCTGAAAGATATACACAATGCTTATTACCAACAAACACAGATCAGGTTTGAATATGGGTGGCATCCCTTTTGCCGTTCAGTTCTTAAGTTATGTCTAGTCCCTTCATAAATGTAAAAATTGGCAAATTTGAAGTTTCTGTACTCTTAACTTTATTTTGCCACTACTTTGTAGATAGAAATTCACAGTAGGTCAAGGCTGTACACAAATATACATGTAGATGAATGTTCACAGTAGGTCAAGTCATGTACATGTAGGTAAATGTTCATAGTTAGTAAATGTTATACATATGTAGATAAATGTTCACAGTAGGTCAAGGCTGTACACAAATATACATGTAGATAAATGTTCACTGTAGGTAAATGTTATACATATGTTGATAAATGTTCACAGTAGGTCAAGGCTGTACACACATGTACATGTAGATAAATGTTCATGGTTGGTAAATATTATAAATATGTTGATAAATGTTCATAGTAAGTAATTAAGGCTGTACATGTCGATAAATGTTTATAGTAGATCAATAAAGGCTGTACATGTCGATAAATGTTTATAGTAGTTAAATGTCCACAGTAGGTAAAGGCTTGCTGTACAAATGTACATGTCAATTAATGTTTATAGTAGATAAATGTTCACAGTAGGTAAAGGCTTGCTGTACATGTCGATTAATGTTTATAGTAGATAAATGTTCACAGTAGGTAAAGGCTGGCTGTACATGTCGATAAATGTTTATAGTAGATAAATGTTCACAGTAGGTAAAGGCTGGCTGTACATGTCGATAAATGTTTATTGTAGATAAATGTTCACAGTAGGTAAAGGCTGGCTGTACATGTCTATAAATGTTTATAGTAGATAAATGTTCACAGTAGGTAAAGGCTGGCTGTACATGTCGATAAATGTGTAAAGTAGATAAATGTGCATCATGTTCATGGTTAGTAAATATTATAAATATGTTGATAAATATTCACAGTAGGTAAAGGCTGTACATGTTGATAAATGTACATGTAGATAAATGTTCATAGTAAGTAAATGTTATACATTTATTGATAATGTTCACAATAGGTAAAGGCTGTACATGTACACTAAAATCTTCATAGTAGGTAAATTTTTAACTACAGGAGGTTCTGTTGATGAAATATTGCATTCAATTTATACAATACTAATTACATGAATTACTAATTCTAAATTATTATATTTTCATTTGCAGATTGAGCAGCCTCCAGTTAAAAGACGAAGAAGGTAGGTAAAAAATGTCTTATATGGTAGTAATGTTGTCTGCTTGATTGAATCTAATATTATATGATAAATATCTCACTACATGTATATGTTGACAAGTCTGAGATAAACATGATAAATATCTCACTACATGTATATGTTGACAAGTCTGAGATAAATATCTCACTACATGTATATGTTGACAAGTCTGAGATAAATATCTCACTACATGTATATGTTGACAAGTCTGAGATAAATATCTCACTACATGTATATGTGTATCAAGAAAACTTTTATTTCCTCTTTATCATGTTTATCACAACTTTTGTATATTTAAATGGAACATAATTCTGAATTTTAGGCATGTAATTATATAATCAAACCAAAACAAATATGTAAATGACTTGCAGGAAGTATTATACTCAATAAAAAAGGATACAAAAGTCTTACATACATCTGAACTTATAATACTCAATAAAAAAGGATACAAAAGTCTAACATACATCTTAACTTACAATACTCAATAAAAAAGGATACAAAAGTCTAACATACATCTTAACTTATAATACTCAATAAAAAAGGATACAAAAGTCTTACATACATCTTAACTTATAATACTCAATAAAAAAGGATACAAAAGTCTTAACATACATCTTAACTTATAATACTCAATAAAAAAGGATACAAAAGTCTTACATACATCTTAACTTTTTATTCAAGTATGTGACCTTCAAAGTGTAATATAATAAACAAAACTTAATACATTTACAGATGGAGAAAACCAGCTGCTGTAGATGTAGATGACGGAATATTAACTGTGAATGTTGATAATTCAACTGTTGAACGGTAATATTAGTTATCACTTCCTGGTTAAATTAAATTCTTAACGAACAAAAGTAATTATTAATGTTGACAAGGAAACACTCAGAGGGTAAATAGAATTATTGACAAAAAATATTAAATGTTAATGTCAACATTACAACACTTAAAGGGTAACTTTGTGATTACATCAGTCTGTGCGAAACTATCTGACATTTGGTCCAACTGTAATGCCATATACCTCTGACCGAGAAGAATTTTTTTACTTAATTGTTATAATGCCTTCTATTTCAAAGATGTTCTCAAGAAACAATTCATGTCTTTTATTTATAAATAATTTATTCAAGTGTATATTTATCTCTATTCCACTGCTTCAATTCCCTGAACATTACTTAAATCAACCTTACAATTGGCAATTTATGGTACTTTTTTATTTACTAATTGTCAGTGAAATAAGAGTTTCTGGATTCATTCATGCAATGGAATGACCTTATCTGGAAACTCAGATTTTTACCAGTATCAGGGTTATGGTCACTGCTTTTACAGTATGGTGAAAAATGGTGATTGCTAAATTACTCAATGAAAAAGTATTTTACAATTGTAAAGTCTTTTTAAGGAACAGAAATTTATCATTCCCTATGCAACAAAAATGATGAGGTATAATGTTTTTGATGCCTTCCTCCTCTCATCAAATAGTGCCTTCAGTTTTTTATTGTACCCTTTTCAGATTTCCATTCATCAGAACCACTGATGTTTTTGACAGGAAAAACTTAATGAGGGATTATTGTTTGGAGGGGAACTAAAAAAAAATAGCCCAAATTATTTTTTTTGACATGTACCTTCAGTTTTATTGGGATCCTCTTCAAATTTTGATGAAGGTTTTCATCCAAACCACAGATAAGTTTGATAATCTGAAAAGGGTGAGTGATTTGTAATAATAATCATAATAATCCATACTATTTCTTGTCGCTGGAATAGCACCTTCATTATTATCAATTGGCATCAAAACCTAGGATGAGGCTGATAATCCGAAAAATTCGTAAGGGTTCCGCGGAACCCAGTGTCTCGCCTAGTTTTGCTGTTAATCGCAGGCTCAACAAAAATGAGATGAGGAAAAAATTTAATAAAAATAATCCTCTCGATACAATTTTTTTATTGTAAGAAGCTTCTGTCTAAGTTTGGTAAAAATCCAGGATAGTTTATGAATCTAATAAATGTTTTTAAAAATTGTAACTGCAGACTGTATGTAATGTTAACTGGAAGAAAAACTAAGTCCATTTATAAGTAAAATACGGAAAAACAGGAATTTTTTTTTTAAAATTTACTTCGGGATACTATCTTATGATCATAAACAAGCTTCTGTCCAAGTTTGGTAGAAATCCAGGATAGTTTGAGAAAGTTATTAAAATTTTAAAAACTTTAACCAGAGTGAATGTAATGTTTCCTGGCAAAAAAACTTAAGTCCATTTATAAGTAAAATACGGAAAAACAGGAATTTTTTTTTTTACAAAATTTACTTCTGGATACTATCTTATGATCATAAACAAGCTTCTGTCCAAGTTTGGTAGAAATCAAGGATAGTTTGAGAAAGTTATTAAAATTTTAAAAACTTTAACCAGAGTGAATGTAATGTTTCCTGGCAAAAAAACTAAGTCCATTTATAAGTAAAATACGGAAAAACAGGAATTTTTTTTTTACAAAATTTACTTCTGGATACTATCTTATGATCATAAACAAGCTTCTGTCCAAGTTTGGTAGAAATCAAGGATAGTTTAAGAAAGTTATTAAAATTTCAAAAACTTATAACCACAGAGTGAATATTTGTGGACGCCGACACCGACGGAATGTAGGATCGCTATGTCTCGCTTTTTCGACAAAAGTCGAAGGCTCGACAAAAATCATAAGTCCCTTCTTTGGTTCCATCTTCTGTCGTACCGACTGATAAATTGCTAATTTTTTTTCCTTTGAAATTGCATGAAATATTTGCCATTGGAAATTTTGGTGGTTCAGGTGTTTGAATATTGTGTTGGGTCAAATGATTCTTGTAAATTTTTACTACATGTAAAAAGTTGGAATATCTTTTTTAAAATCCTATCTTTTAATTTTCTTATCCTCAATTCTGTTTTACCATAACAAAATATGTCAATTGTGTGCTTCCTGTAGTTCAAAACAACATGGTAACTGATATACAAATAGAAATATGATAATTAAAATAACTTTTATGAATAACATAATTAAAATAACATGAATATCATAATTAAAATAACATGAATATCATAATTAAAGGGGCATTAGCTGTCAAATTCATGTTCACCGATTTGATTCAAATTCTCATATTTGATTTATAACAATGTAAAACATTTATCCAAATTATTAAAATTCTAAAATAAACAATTTACAGGGCATGGGCTCGATAATATGTAGCTTCGTTTTGTGTGTATTTTATTCTAGACGTCATCTAATTAACTATCGAGTTGACCTCCGAAGACCTCCGAATGTCATATAAGCGATATAAACATAAATATAGATATAAATAGATTAAGCGAACTTGGGCAATTGGATTTTTCTAGGTCTATTTAATTTCTTATTATAGATTAAAATATATGTTAATCATCGTTTTTACCTGTAAAAGAATGATTTTTTGTGGATCGAAACCAGTCAATCAAATGATTTACCTTTGTTACACTTTCAATGTTGACATTCTTTTCCTTTAAATAACTGATCACACACGATTCATGCTTTATCCATCTCTAGCTAAGGGGTTAAATTAAAGTTCACATGAATACAGATTCAATGAGGTCGAATTATTCACTTGCAAGTGAATAATTCATTATCAATGTTTCTTAGCTTATTTTGACAAAATTGAACCATACTGGCAGCCAAAAGCGAATTATTATTTCATTATTTCACTTTCATTAATGATTGAACGAAAAAAATCGTATTTTAGATTTTTTATATATCTTGTAGCTAGTGCCCCTTTAAAAACTTAATTTTGACATAGAAAGAAATATTTTATTGAATTTAGTTAAGGTGTTTGAACTACTTATTGTGATATGAATAAATTTCACATTTAAAGACACCATAGCTATACTATGTAATTATTTTGACAGTGGTCCTCGTCGAGGCAGAAGATTAAACAGACAAGACAATCTTAGGAAACAAATACAAGTAAGATAAAAGTATTCTTTCAAGTATTTCCTCTGTGAAGATTTTCAGGTTAATTGTTAGGCACTTCATTTCCTAGTTCAAAATTCAATTCATCTACCCCCTTGTAAATAATAGGAAAAAAAGGGGTGGATGATACCAAGGGGACATTCAAATCTCATGTCTAAATAAAAACTTACAAAACAACGGCAAAAAAATGAAAAACGGTGAAAAGACGAACAAATGCACAAAACACTACATGGAAAATAAAAGATTGAGCAAGACAAACCCCATGCAAACTAGGGACCGGCCCATGGTCTCGTGGTAGCGTATTTGCCTTGAAAGCGGTAGGTTGTGGGTTAGAACCCTGACCAAGTCAAACCAAAGACTTTAAAATTGGTATTTGCTGCTTCTCCTCTAAGCACGAGGCATTAAGGAGCAAGAGCAAAGACTGGTCAGCTAGGAGTCAGAATAATGTGTCCGGGTAAGGTGACATGTCTTCCTGCAGGCTGTTTGTTACCTTGTAAACTAGCACGTTAAAAATCCAGCTCAGCTTGTCGGTCTAGTACAAAGCCGGGTAAATATTCATATTACATTAACATGTTCTCGTCCTGAATATGTATATTAATTTGCCGCTGGACATTAAGCAGCCATCCATCATCATCAAAACCAGGAATGTACTGATGCTTTGGAAGTGTGAGCAGTTGAAATCTGCTTCATATGTGGCACCGGTGAAAGTGATGTAATACCATGTTTTTCCATGTATTGAAGCTGTAGCAATACGTGGTGATCACTTCTGTGATCTTTTATCATTGTCCCTGTAGGTGTCACACATTGTTAATCCTCAAGTTCTGAAAATTGCATGACAAAATTTAACCAAACTTGGAAAGAATATTCTTCAGGACATGAAGTTGAAGACCTGCTATTTTGATTTTTTTCAACCATAAACCTTCACCTTTTCTGCATATATTATTTGGAGAACCATCGCCATATGACATCCACAAAAATTAAAAATCGGCAATTAAAATATGTTACAGGCATCCATTTATTAAAAAATGAATAGTAAGCATGGAATATTGTCATTTGTTCTAAATATTTGTAGAAATAAAACAAAACATCAGTTATTCAATTTTTATGGTTGTGAATTTAAGCAATTTTGGTACTCCTCATTACAGAATCATGTTTTTTTTTTAGGTCAGTTAAAACCCATTTGTCTATGATTCAATATGGATTCAAAATCAAATTGATGGAATTATATAGTAAAACAGGAAAAATCTACAAAATAAACACAGAATGGAAACTTTTGTCTGTATCATGAAAAAACTATAAAAATAGGTGCAATTTGGGTACTCTTCAATAGAATAAATAGGGATTTATGTTTAAATGTTTATATTTTAGGCACTAAAACCATCAGAACAAGTGACTTATACAATGGAAAAACAGTTGTTCTCTCAACCATCAGTAAGTAGGATTTAAAACCATGGGAACATGTAACATACACCATGGAAAAACAGTTGTTCTCTCAACCATCAGTAAGTAGGATTTAAAACCATGGGAACATGTAACATACACCATGGAAAAACAGTTGTTCTCTTAACCATCAGAAAGTAGGATTTAAAACCATGGGAACATGTAACATACACCATGAAAAAACAGTTGTTCTCTCAACCATCAGTAAGTAGGCTTTAAAACCATGTAACATACACCATGAAAAACAGTTGTTCTCTCAACCATCAGTAATTAGGATTTAATTCCATGGGAACATGTAACATACACCATGGAAAAACAGTTGTTCTCTTAACCATCAGTAAGTAGGATTTAAAACCATGGGAACATGTAACATACACCATGGAAAAACAGTTGTTCTCTCAACCATCAGTAAGTAGGCTTTAAAACCATGGGAACATGTAACATATTCATCAGTTAGTAGTTTAAAACCCTAAATACATAACCATGGAAATAGTTGTTCTCTCAGCTGGCAGTAAGTACAGTTTAAAACCCTAAATATATAACCATGGAAACATTTGTACTCACAGGTCATCAGTAATTACAGTTTAAAACCCTAAATATATAACCATGGAAACAGTTGTACTCACAGGCCATTAGTAAGTACAGTTTAAAACCCTAAATATATAACCATGGAAACAGTTGTACTCACAGGCCATTAGTAAGTACAGTTTAAAACCCTAAATATATAACCATGGAAACAGTTGTACTCACAGGCCATTAGTAAGTACAGTTTAAAACCCTAAATATATAACCATGGAAACAGTTGTACTCACAGGCCATTAGTAAGTACAGTTTAAAACCCCTGAATATATAACCATGGAAACAGTTGTACTCACAGGCCGTTAGTAAGTACAGTTTAAAACCTCTAAATATATAACCATGGAAACAGTTGTACTCTCAATCATTTGTATGTATGCACAGTTTATAACCCTAAATATATAACCATGGAGATAGTTGTTTTCACAGGTCACCAGTAAGTACAGTTTATATCAGTTAATAAATAACCATGGAAACTGTTGTACTCGCAGGCCATCAGTCAGTACAGTCTAAATCCCTTGATAAATAACCATGGAAACAGTTGTTCTCACAGGTCATTAGTTAGTACAGTTTTAATCCCTTAATATTTAACCATGGAAACAGTTGTTCCTACAGGTAACAGTTCTCCCAATCATTGGTGCCTTTCATGTAACCATGTGGGATAGCAGTTTTTTATGCCCTCGCCGTAGCGGAAGGGGCATTAAGTTTTACCCTTGTCCATCTTTACGTACGTACATCCCAAAATTGGTTTCCATTCTCTAACTTTAGTTTGCCTCAACCAAATGTTATGAACCTTATACACAATGCTTATTACCACAAAACACAGATCAAGTTTGAATTTTTGGTGGCGTCACTTTAACCGCTCTAGAGTTATGCCCCTTTACAAATGGAAAAATTGCTGAATTTTTCGTTTCCGTTCTCTTTAGTTTGCCTCTACCAAATGTTATGAAACTTATGTACAATGCTAATTACTACAAAACACAGATCAAGTTCGAATTTTGGTGGCATCACTTTAACCTTTCTAGAGTTAATCCACTTTACAAATGGAAAAATTGCTGAAGTTTTCGTTTCCGTTCTCTAACTTAAGTTTGCCTCTACTTAATGTTATGAAATGTATACACAATGCTTATTACCACAAAACTCAGATCAAGTACAAATTTGGGTAGCGTCACTTTTTCAGTTCTTGAGTTCTGTCCCTTTATAACTTTATATGCAAACGGGGGCATCATCTGTGTCCCATGGACACATTCCCCATTTATTTTTCTATTATCTTGAAAACTATTATAGATAGGGAGAAACTTAAAATTGCCAAAAAATGATCAGCAAGACAAGTTCTACAAATTAGTCTACATGGTCGAAATCGTCAGTGGACTCCATATTAGAGCTATTCCTCTTTGGACGATATTTACCAATTTTTTGCATTTTTGCCTTATATTTTAAAAATAATGGCTAGATAGATGAGAAACTTAAAAGAGCAAAAATGATCAGCAAGACAAGATCTACAATTTGGACAATATGGAGGAAATCATCCGACGACTCTTTATTGAAATTGTTGCCCTTGAATGACGAATTTTACCATTTCTTTGTATTTGCCTTATATGATAAAAATTATAATATATAAATAGACACTTTAAATCACAAAAATGATCAGCAAGGCAAGATCTACTAACAAGTCAAATTTTGCCGATATAGTTAGTAGACTGTCACCCTTTATGGGAGTGATTGCCCTTAAATGAGGATTTTTTTTACCCTCTTTTGTGTTTTGAGCAAAAACTAAAGAAGATACAGATAGAGAGAAGCTGAACAGACTAAATGATCAGCAATACAAGATCAACAAAACAGAGACTTTTGTCATGAATTCTATTCTCGTCTACAATGTTGGAGAGTGTCCTTTGTTGAATCTGCAAATAGACCAAGTTGAACGACACAGGCTCTTTAGAGCCTCTATTTGTTATTTACCACAAATGTGAGCAAAATTTAAAAGAATAAAGAATGGAAATGGGTAATGTGTCAAAAAAATGTATGATATTTAACTCCTCCATCCGTTCATTCAGACCACAAGGCATGGAAATAAAACCCTAACATTTGTAATGAAAAGGCTTTTAAAAATAACTAGGTGAAATTCAACAAATTATTGCATGAAAAGCATTTATATGACTGCACAATTCTCCATGTTGGGTCTTCACTTCTTTCCATTTGGCTGCCAGTGAGAAACCACTTCCTAAGTGTGATAAACCCTGATAAGAGTTAGTGTTTCATATCTTTTACGTTATTGAATTTATTTCAGACCAGTTTAAGCCTTAGTGAAAGATTCAAACAAGAAGGAAGAAAGGTATTCTTTTGATGACAGAGAACTAAATCAGAGAGAATGAGAACAGAATGGAGATAACTGTTGGTGTTGACTGATGTTTGTAGTTTTGGTGGATGTTTATTGGTGCTGGAAAGTTCTTTTGTCATGATGGACCATGTCAGAGTGTAAAGTTTGTCTCTAAATGGAACATGACAACACATGGCTGATGTTGAAGATCATGGGATAGTTCTAGGAGAGTTTTACATATGATAGGCAAACTATCAAATCCTGCAGTATGAGATGACTAGTCCAGTTTTAAATACTTATCTTGTTTTCTTAAGTTAAACATTATACCAAAAATAGGTAAATAAATGGAATAGTTACCAAGGATCCTTTGCAGACAGCAATACATTGTTGGTTCTCGGTAAATTTTGTTCTTTAAGAAGTAGTTGAATTTATAAATAGTTTAAGATCAACTTTGATTTTTTTCATGTTTTGTTGTCCTTGAGTTTATAATATTATATTAATTTTCTTATTTGTTTTGCAAATAAGCAGATGTAAGGTTAAGTTAAATCTTTACAAAATATTTTGATGTTAAAACTTTTAAAATAAATACAGGTCAAATTTGACAGACTATTTTCCTTGTTCTTGAATTTTGCCTAATGAGTACATGGAAACTAGCTTAATTGAATTATATATGTAGTTTTTTATATATAACATTGACCAAATTAAATGTCATTTGAAATTTGGAGATGTTGTAAGCAATTTAAAACTGGCTAAATTGAATTTTTATATATTTCAATATTTTAGTGTTGTTGTTACTGTGTTATTGCCTTTGATAAGGTCAAAAAGAGGGACAAATCTAATTTTCTGTTCAATAATTTGAGTGAGCATATACAGGTAAAATTCTTTAAAAATCAGAACTGTCATTATGGACCATTAAACTGGGATCAAGTAGCCTGGTATCCATGATGAGTTTTTTACTTTGACATATTTTGCTTTTGGTAGGTCCTGAGTTAGGCTATTCATTATATGGAGAATTTGATGGTTTTTTTATATCATTGGTATGGTCAAAACTGTAGGGGAAAGTTGTCTCATTGGCAATCACACCACATCTTCTTATTTTTATATTTTCAATAATCTCACACAATTTGAAATTATATGTAAGCTACAAGTTGACAAATTATATGTGGTTTTCAAAAAATTATAATAAATTGAAATATTTTCTATATTTCAATTTATTATAATTGATTTGCCAAAACCATATATTGAAAGTAGTTTATGTGCATCTGTGTCTGGGAGCCCTTTTTAGTTTAGTTCAATATTTTGTTAACTTATTCATATTTCCATTTTTGAAGTTATATGCGAGTTGTTTCCTGTCACATATTTGGTCTGTTAGAAATTAAATTTTGTGTAAGAAAGTGTGTGGAGCAGACAATACTATACACTTGATGAAATCACTGAACTTCATACTAAAAGTTAGTCAAATATTTTGTCTTATGTAGTATTCATTTTCTGTTGGACCTAATAGCATGTAAGGTCTGGTACATTTCTTTCTTGTTTAAATTTGTTTATAACTGCACTAAGGACAATTTCTATCCTATGAAAGCAGATATGTTAGAAACTCAGGTTATGATATTAATTTTTCTGTAGTTTTTTTATGGTTAGTCCAATTGTTGCAGCTTGACTGTTATTTTCAATATTCTTGATTAGTTGTATGAATAATAATTGTATATTAAATCTATTGATGTGTGAATGAGTTGTTCAGTTCTCTCAGTTCTTGTATATTCTCCACTCTGTGCCTCATACAAGGACTTATTATTATCAATTAACATACTGGTCAATAAGTACAATGCTTACTGTGAGAAAGGAAATCATTAGGGCAGTATGAATTAAATGTTATCCCTTGACAGATTATTGAGATTATGAGCTAATGTGTGTAAACCAATCATTGGATGTTTATATTTGGTATTTTATAATATTTAGAATATATCTTTTTTATATTTCACTCTGTTGTAGAATTTATGTTTTTAGAAGTTGTACTCAAATGTTTTATTGGATACTCTTAATTACTAGAATTTTTGTATTATTAGATGAAGTGGCAAAGACTTAGACATACTGGTGCTTGTATATTATTACAACTGATAGTAGAACAATGATATTTAGTAATGTATAAGCATTGGCTCATCTTATTTTCATGGAGATTATTTGGCCTCACTCCTCACTTAAGTCTTTGTCCATTGATGTGAAACCTTTTCCATAATTTACTTCTTTGTAATTAAGTCACATTATGAAAAAAAACTAATGATAAGTCAGTGATATTTAGAGGCAGTTTAAGTTTAAGAACATCTCATATCCAATGAGACTATTTGCCTCCCCCCCCCTTCCACAAGTCATTGGTCATTAACTTCGAAACTTCTGCATACCTCATATGTTAATGGGCTGTTGTTTGATTTTCCACATTTGCATTATACTAAAGAAATATCTGTGTCAAAATGTAATCATATCTTTTTGTTAAAGTTATAGTTTATCAAGTATATATGTTATTTTGTTGATATTGGTGATAGGACATCATTAGTTATTTTGTTAGTTGTTGGTGTGAATGATATAAAGTAATACATTACATGTGAGAAATGAAATAAAAAGTCTACTCAAATAGATTGTTTGATATTTTGATGAAGAAACATTGCTGATTATGTGTGATTTTGATTTTATGAGCTATCTTGCTTCTGTTGGATTAAAATATGTTTTATGGTAGCTATGTAGTATATCTACTTAACTATAAGTAATGGCAGACCTTAAATGTCATCATTTTTATTTTCAATAGAATATTGCAATTGTTTACTTAATTTAGATGGACTTATCTGAAATTGTAAAATTGTTCAATTCATTCACCAAACATTTGTATTTCATAAGTTTTATTCATGCAACATGTATTTTGTATAATCTGCTCATAATGAAATCACTTAACACAATTCTTGAAGACAATAAACAATTTAAAAAAAAGGATTAGAAACTCTCTTTATAGCCCTTGATTCAATGGAGATTCCATTTGTATGTTTGTCAATTCAAGTACAAATAAAAAGTTGAATTTGCAATGTTACTATTTTTTTATGCCCCCGCCGCTAGGCGAAGGCGGCATTAAGTGTTACCCTTGTCTGTTCCGTCTGTCCGTCGCATACGTCCCCAAAATTATTTTCCGTTCTATAACTTTAGTTTGCCTCAACCAAATGTTGTAAAACTTATACACAATGCTTATTACCACAAAACTCAGATCAAGTTCGAAATTGGGCGGCATCACTTTTACTGTTCATGAGTTATGTCCCTTTATAAACAGAAAAATTTTATCGTTTCCGTTTTCTAACTTTAGTTTGCCTAAACTAAATGTTATTAAATTTATACACAATGCTTGTTACCACAAAACCCAGGTCAAGTATGAATTGGGGTAGTGTCACTATCACCTTTCTTGAGTTATGTCCCTTTATAACCTTATATGCAAGCGGGGGCATCATTTGTGTCCCATGGACACATTCCCAATTTATTTATTATGTTTAAGCTTCATAATCTGGGATTTAAGAAACATTTCCAGTTTGTGATCCAAAATGGTGGTAGCAGATCTTTCAGAGGTGATTTCACATAGCGTTATAGTCTTAACAAACTACTGGATGTAACTCCCTTTCAGAGATGATTTCACATATCTTTATAGCCTGAACAAACTACTGATTTCTCAAAGCGTTATAGTCTGAACAAACTGCTGCGTGTAACTACCTTTCAGAGGGGATTTCACAAAGTGTAATAGCCTGAACAAACTGCTGGATGTAACTTCTTTTCAGAGGTGATTTCACAAAGCGTTATAGCCTGAACAAACTACTGGACATAACTCCCTTTCAGATGTGATTTCACATAGCCTAATAGTCTGAACAAACTACAGCATGTAACTCCCTTTTAGAGGTGATTTCACAAAGTGTTATAGCCTCTACTGGATGTATATCCCTTTCAGAGGTGATTTAACAAATCATTATAGCCTGAACAAACTACTGGATGCAACTCCCTTTCAGAGTTGATTTCACAAAGTGTTATAGTCTGAACAAACTGCTGCATGTAACTCTCTTTCAGAGTTGATTTCACATAGCGTCAGTCTGAACAAACTGCTGCATGTAACTCCCTTTCAAAGTTGATTTTGCAAAGCGTTGTATAGTCTATACAAACTGCTGCATGTAACTCCCTTTCAGAGGTAATTTCACAAAGGGTTATAGTCTGAACAAACTACTGCATGTAACTCCCTGTCAGAGGTAATTTCACAAAGGGTTATATAGTCTGAACAAACTGCTGCATGTAACTCCCTTTCAGAGGTAATTTCACAAAGGGTTATAGTCTGAAGAAACTACTGCATGAAACTCCCTTTCAGAGGTAATTTCACAAAGCGTTATATAGTTTGAACGAACTGCTGCATGTAACTCCCTTTCAGAGGTGATTTCACAAAGTGTTATATAGTCTGAACAAACAACCTGATGTAACTCCCTTTCAGAAGTGATTTCACAAAGCGTTATATAGTCTGAACAAACAACTTGATGTAACTCCCTTTCAGAGGTGATTTCACAAAGCATTATATAGTTTGAACAAACAACTTGATGTAACTCCCTTTCAGAGGTGATTTCACAAAACGTTATATAGTCTGAACAAACTGCTGCATGTTACTTCCTTTCAGAGGTGATTTTACATATCTTTACAGCCTGAACAAACTACTTGATGTAACTCCCTTTCAGAGGTGATTTCACAAAGCGTTATAGTCTGAACAAACTGCTGTATGTAACTCCCTTTCAGAGGTGATTTCACAAAACGTTACAGTCTGAACAAACTGCTGCATGTAACTCCCTTTCAGAGGTGTTTTCACAAAGCGTTTTATAGTCTGAACAAACAACTTGATGTAACTCCCTTTCAGAGGTGATTTCACAAAGCGTTATATAGGCTGAACAAATAACTTTATGTAACTCCCTTTCAGAGATGATTTCACAAAGCGTTATATAGCCTGAACAAACTACTTGATGTAACTCCCTTTCAGAGGTGATTTCACAAAGCGTTATAGTCTGAACAAACTGCTGCATGTAACTCCCTTTCAGAGGTGATTTCACATATCGTTATAGTCTGAACAAACTGCTGCATGTAACTCCCTTTCAGAGGTGATTCACAAAGCGTTAGTCTGAACAAACTACTGGATGTAACTCCCTTTCAGAGGTGATTTCACATAGCGTTATAGTCTGAACAAACTGCTGCATGTAACTCCCTTTCAGGGGTGATTTCACATATCTTTATAGCCTGAACAAACTACTTGATGTAACTCCCTTTCAGAGGTGATTTCACAAAGCGTTATAGTCTGAACAAACTGCTGCATGTAACTCCCTTTCAGAGGTGATTTCACATAGCATATTTGTCTGAACAAACTGCTGCATGTAACACCCTTTCAGAGGTGATTTCACATATCGTTATAGTCTGAACAAACTGCTACATGTAACTCCCTTTCAGAGGTGATTTCACATATCTTTATAGCCTGAACAAACAACTTGATGTAACTCCCTTTCAGAGGTGATTTCACAAAGAGGTACAGTCTGAACAAACTGCTGCATGCAACTCCCTTTCAGAGGTGATTTCACATATCTTTATAGCCTGAACTAACAACTTGATGTAACTCTTTTTCAAAGGTGATTTAACATATGGAAATAGTCTTAACAAACTACTGGATGTAACTCCCTTTCAGAGATGATTTCACATATCTTTATAGCCTGAACACACTACTGATTTCACAAAGCGTTATAGTCTGAACAAACTACTGCATGTAACTTCCTTTCAGAGGTAATTTCATAAAGTGTTATAGCCTGAACAAAATACTGGACATAACTCCCTTTCAGAGGTGATTTCACAAAGCGTTATATAGTCTGAACAAACAACTTGATGTAACTCCCTTTCAGAGGTGATTTCACAAAGCGTTATAGTCTGAACAAACTGCTGCATGTAACTCCCTTTCAGAGGTGATTTCACATATCATTATAGCCTGAACAAACTACTGATTTCACAAAGCGTTATAGTCTGAACAAACTACTGCATGTAACTTCCTTTCAGAGGTGATTTCACAAAGTGTAATAGCCTGAACAAACTGCTAGATGTAACTTCTTTTCAGAGGTGATTTCACAAAGCGTTATACATTTTGTATAGTCTGAACAAACTGCTGCATATAACTTCCTTTCAGAGGTGATTTCACATATCTTTATGACCTGAACAAACTACTTGATGTAACTCCCTTTCAGAAATGATTTCACATATCGTTATAGTCTGAACAAACTGCTGCATGTAACTCCCTTTCAGAGGTGATTCACAAAGCGTTAGTCTGAACAAACTACTGGATGTAACTCCCTTTCAGAGGTTATTTCACATAGCGTTATAGTCTGAACAAACTGCTGCATGTAACTCCCTTTCAGAGGTGATTTCACACATCTTTATAGCCTGAACAAACTACTGATTTCACAAAGCGTTATAGTCTGAACAAACTACTGCATGTAACTTCCTTTCAGAGGTGATTTCACAAAGTGTAATAGCCTGAACAAACTGCTAGATGTAACTTCTTTTCAGAGGTGATTTCACAAAGCGTTATACATTTTGTATAGTCTGAACAAACTGCTGCATATAACTTCTTTTCAGAGGTGATTTCACATATCTTTTTGACCTGAACAAACTACTTAATGTAACTCCCTTTCAGAGATGATTTCACATATCGTTATAGTCTGAACAAACTGCTACATGTTACTCCCTTTCAGAAGTGATTTCACATATCTTTATAGCCTGAACAAACAACTTGATGTAACTCCCTTTCAGAGGTGATTTCACAAAGAGGTACAGTCTGAACAAACTGCTGCATGCAACTCCCTTTCAGAGGTGATTTCACATATCTTTATAGCCTGAACTAACAACTTGATGTAACTCCTTTTCAGAGGTGATTTAACATATGGTTATAGTCTTAACAAACTGCTGCATGTAACTCCCTTTCAGAGGTGATTTCACATATCTTTATAGCCTGAACAAACTACTTGATGTAACTCCCTTTCAGAGGTGATTTCACAAAGCGTTATAGTCTGAACAAACTGCTGCATGTAACTCCCTTTCAGAGGTGATTTCACATAGCATATTTGTCTGAACAAACTGCTGCATGTAACACCCTTTCAGAGGTGATTTCACATATCGTTATAGTCTGAACAAACTGCTGCATGTAACTCCCTTTCAGAGGTGATTCACAAAGCGTTAGTCTGAACAAACTACTGGATGTAACTCCCTTTCAGAGTTTATTTCACATAGCGTGATAGTCTGAACAAACTGCTGCATGTAACTCCCTTTCAGAGGTGATTTCACATATCTTTATAGCCTGAACAAACTACTGATTTTACAAAGCGTTATAGTCTGAACAAACTACTGCATGTTACTTCCTTTCAGAGGTGATTTCACAAAGTGTAATAGCCTGAACAAACTGCTAGATTTAACTTCTTTTCAGAGGTGATTTCACAAAGCGTTATACATTTTGTATAGTCTGAACAAACTGCTGCATATAACTTCCTTTCAGAGATGATTTCACATATCGTTATAGTCTGAACAAACTGCTACATGTAACTCCCTTTCAGAGGTGATTTCACATATCTTTATAGCCTGAACAAACAACTTGATGTAACTCCCTTTCAGAGGTGATTTCACAAAGAGGTACAGTTTGAACAAACTGCTGCATGCAACTCCCTTTCAGAGGTGATTTCACATATCTTTATAGCCTGAACTAACAACTTGATGTAACTCTTTTTCAAATGTGATTTAACATATGGTTATAGTCTTAACAAACTACTGGATGTAACTCCCTTTCAGAGATGATTTCACATATCTTTATAGCCTGAAAACACTACTGATTTCACAAAGCGTTATAGTCTGAACAAACTACTGCATGTAACTTCCTTTCAGAGGTAATTTCATAAAGTGTTATAGCCTGAACAAAATACTGGACATATCTCCCTTTCAGAGGTGATTTCACAAAGCGTTATATAGTCTGAACAAACAACTTGATGTAATCCCTTTCAGAGGTGATTTCACAAAGCGTTATAGTCTGAACAAACTGCTGCATGTAACTCCCTTTCAGAGGTGATTTCACATATCATTATAGCCTGAACAAACTACTGATTTCACAAAGCGTTATAGTCTGAACAAACTACTGCATGTAACTTCCTTTCAGAGGTGATTTCACAAAGTGTAATAGCCTAAACAAACTGCTAGATGTAACTTCTTTTCAGAGGTGATTTCACAAAGCGTTATACATTTTGTATAGTCTGAACAAACTGCTGCATATAACTTCCTTTCAGAGGTGATTTCACATATCTTTATGACCTGAACAAACTACTTGATGTAACTCCCTTTCAGAAATGATTTCACATATCGTTATAGTCTGAACAAACTGCTGCATGTAACTCCCTTTCAGAGGTGATTCACAAAGCGTTAGTCTGAACAAACTACTGGATGTAACTCCCTTTCAGAGGTTATTTCACATAGCGTTATAGTCTGAACAAACTGCTGCATGTAACTCCCTTTCAGAGGTGATTTCACATATCTTTATAGCCTGAACAAACTACTGATTTCACAAAGCGTTATAGTCTGAACAAACTACTGCATGTAACTTCCTTTCAGAGGTGATTTCACAAAGTGTAATAGCCTGAACAAACTGCTAGATGTAACTTCTTTTCAGAGGTGATTTCACAAAGCGTTATACATTTTGTATAGTCTGAACAAACTGCTGCATATAACTTCCTTTCAGAGGTGATTTCACATATCTTTTTGACCTGAACAAACTACTTAATGTAACTCCCTTTCAGAGATGATTTCACATATCGTTATAGTCTGAACAAACTGCTACATGTTACTCCCTTTCAGAAGTGATTTCACATATCTTTATAGCCTGAACAAACAACTTGATGTAACTCCCTTTCAGAGGTGATTTCACAAAGAGGTACAGTCTGAACAAACTGCTGCATGCAACTCCCTTTCAGAGGTGATTTCACATATCTTTATAGCCTGAACTAACAACTTGATGTAACTCCTTTTCAGAGGTGATTTAACATATGGTTATAGTCTTAACAAACTACTGGATGTAACTCCCTTTCAGAGATGATTTCACATATCTTTATAGCCTGAACACACTACTGATTTCACAAAGCGTTATAGTCTGAACAAACTACTGCATGTAACTTCCTTTCAGAGGTAATTTCACAAAGTGTTATAGCCTGAACAAAATACTGGACATAACTTGACTCCCTTTCAGAGGTGATTTCACATAGCGTTATAGTCTGAACAAACTACAGCATGTAACTCCCTTTCAGAGGTGATTTCACAAAGTGTTAGTCTGAACAAACTAGCCTCTACTGGATGTATATCCCTTTCAGAGGTGATTTCACAAATCATTATAGCCTGAACAAACTACTGGATACAACTCCCTTTCAGAGTTGATTTCACAAAGTGTTATACTAGTAGTCTGAACAAAGTAACTCCCTTTCAGAGGTGATTTCACAAAGGGTTATAGTCTGAACAAACTACTGGATCTAACTCCCTTTCAGAGGAGATTTCACATAGCGTTATAGTCTGAACAAACTGCTGCATGTAACTCCCTTTCAGAGGTGATTTCACAAAGCGTTATAGCCTGAACAAACTACTGGACATAACTCCCTTTCAGAGGTGATTTCACATATCTTTATAGCCTGAACAAACTACTTGATTTAACTCCCTTTCAGAGGTGATTTCACAAAGCGTTATAGTCTGAACAAAGTACTGGATGTAACTCCCTTTCAGAGGTGATTTCACATATCGTTATAGTCTGAACAAACTACTGGATACTTTTACTGGCATGAAAATACGGATTTTGTGTTATTAAAATTTGCTGTTACAAAACATGCAAAATTTTGGAAATTATTTAAAATTAAGGAATATATCTCCCTCATGCAAAGCTCTGATTCCTTGTCCGGCTTTGGCTATAATTTTTTGTCCATTTTGGTTTATAGCTCCTCATCTTTTTAATAAGCTTTGGATTTTCAAATGTTTTGGCCTCGAGCATCACTGAAAAGACATTGATTGTCGAAATGCGCATCTGGTGCAGAAAAATTGGTACCGTTTATGTTATTAATCTATTTGATACTTATTCAGACGATACTGTCTTGTTTGCCAAGTCACCCGAACTTCTTCAACATTTATTTGACAATCTATCCAGATTTTGTCGAAAACGGAGCACAGCATTTAACACTGATAAAACTAAAGTTGTTGTGTTCAGAAATGGATGACAACCTGTAGATAATCGTTTCGTATATAACAAGAGTGCACACGCTGACATGTTCCGCCTGCTTTTACTGGCCGTTGATTTTATGTTGATAGTTCTAAATATAAAGTGATACTACAAGTATCACATAAACTTAACATGATCAAAGAAAATGAGGTCAAGGTCAGATTAACCAAGCCAGAAATACATGAACACCTTACAATCATTCCATACACCAAATATAGTTGACCTATTGCTTATAGTATACAAGAAACCAAACCATGAAAACCTTTGACCAATGATCCATGAAAATGAGATTACGGTCAGATGAATCCTGCCAGAAAGAAATGTACACCTCACAATCATTCCATGCGTTAAATATGGTTGACCTTTTGCATATAGTATCTAAGAAACAAACTTAACCAGGAAAACTCAACATTGACCAATGAATCATGAAAATGAGGTCAAGGTCAGATGATAACTGCCAGACAGACATATACACTTTACAATCATTCCATACACAAAATATAGTTGAACCATTGCTTATAGTTTAAGAAACACAGACCAAAACACAAAAAAAATTAACATTGAGCAATGAACCGTGAAAATGAGGTCAAGGTCAAATAAAACCCGTCAGACTGACATGTACATCGTAAAATATTTCAATACATCAAATACAGTAGACCTATTGCTTATAGTATTAAACTGAGATATGGACTTGACCACGAAAACTTAACCTTGTTCACTGATCCATGAAATGAGGCTTAGGTCAAGTGAAAACTGTTTGACAGGCACGAGGACGGTCCTTGCAAGGTAAGCACATCATCTTTGAGACAACTATCCACCAAAGTTCAAATGAAGTGGATGTAAGCAACTATAGGCAATCATACTCCTTCAACAAGTCTACAAGTCTTTATCGAAATATGGAAAAGGCATGTGACCAGGTGGAATAAGGCTTAAGATGACACAGGAACATGTTCCCAGGATGACTCGAATGCGGAACGTTCAAATACTTTATTAAATATATTCAAAGAAGGCAATGACAGATCTGAAATATACAAGATAATGACATTGTGTAGCAAATAATGTATACTATGTTTAATTACACAATTGCGAATGAATAATAATGCAAAATACAGTTAAATGACAACTCTAAATGTAAACAATTTGTTAATCAATGCAAATGAAAACTGAAATGATAAATACCTTATACTGCTGGTTACGGCTCATAAGTGTTGCTTCTGATCTAACGTATTCCGCATTGACAAAATGATAAGATATAGATAAAAATCACAATATATATAGTCAAAATACAAGGTCAAACTAGCCAGTAACAGATAAAACAACCATAGATGTAGTACATCTATGAAACAACTATTCAGAAAAGTAGTGTGTCCACTGAATAGCCAGTAGTGAGTAAAAATCAAAGACTGAACCATATCATACATAGTTAGATCATTATAATATAAGGGTAAAATAGATATAAATGAAGTACAAAGTTGGAAATATTAAATCAACGTGTTCACAGGTAGAATCGCAGGTGACTCAGCAGTGGCGGATCCAGAACTTTTCATAAGGGGGGACCCGCTGACTGACCTAAAGGGGGGGGGGGGGGGCCGCTCCAGTCATGCTTCAGTGATTCCCTATATAATCAACCAAATTTTTCCCACGAAAGGGGGGTCCGGGCCCTCCAGCCCCCCCCCCCCCCCCCCCCTGGATCTGCCTATGGACTAAGACATTAAGTTTCCAGTGCTTTTGCATGTCCAGTCTAGGTTTTGTGTAACTGCAATACAGTTTTATTATTGAAAGAAAATTTCTAATGTAAGAAACTTCATCTTAACAGACGACAAACCTTTTTACTAATAGTAAAGCTATTACTTGTACTGCTAAATACACAGATATATTCAAGTTACGGAATATTGAAGTTTTTCCGTATAAGTCCAAAATTTATTTACTTCATTTGTAACGCCGACTCTGATTAGTTACGCATATATGATATTTATTTCATTTTTATTATTACCCAGTGTAACAGTTACATGGAAAGAGAATGAACTATAGCATTTAAATAAGCCAATTGTTACAAAATTTCTCTGAAAGCTGTTGACATCTAGCTAAAATAGTGTTTTACGACCAATAATCCTTGACCAATCAGAAACAGGCTTCCATAAGCAGTTTCGGAACAGATGGTTCATGGAACGATATAAATCAAATATGTAGACTAAATTCAGCTCGTTCATACAGCTGGAAGATTTCTCCAACATGTCACAATGCTTGCATCCTCCTTGTCTTTTAGCGAATACCGTGGACTAAGTTACAGCAAATATATAACTATTTTTTGTAAACAAGATACGAATTGAGGATGTCAGGACGTCAAAAATTAATTTTGTGCAAAAATATGACCTTGTTTCTGTTGATTTTACTGTAAATTATTTGTGTATTTTCTTCAAATGTGAATTCATCATTCACAGCATCGTGCATTTGATAAATTAATTACAAGCAATTAAATGAACGTAATGTCTATAGAACGTGAAAATAGTATGGAAGTGGACCTTCCTGTAAGCCATTCACATGGACAAGGAAACACAAACTTAAAGCGGTCAAATAGTGCACCCATGATAAATGTTTTAGTGAACACAACACAAAGTCCACCAGAGATCAGGTTATTAATCATTTTTGGTTTTCCTACTTGTATTTCCTGAAAATATTTAATTAGCCTAGGAATGCTACATGTATTTTGAAGATGAATTCATAAATATTATCATAAACTATAATATAGTTTCAGAGAAAACATATAGTCTAAGATAAATAATATGTCAAGGACTCAAGGTAGTACTTGATGAGCTCCTAAAGGTTATTGGTGCATGTTTTTTGTATTTATCACAAATTTTGGTATTCAGATATACAGATTTGGGGGAAATGATGTTTAAGAAAAAATCCCAAAATGCCATTGTGTAAAGCATCTTTGCAACACTATCATGTTTTATATCCTGAGCCATTATCAAAAGATTGTATAAGACCTTTTACTATCATGACTATATATATCTATGGCAGTCGATAAAACCCTTTCTAGCTGTTCATTATGCATGTATTATGCTTAGTACAAATGTATCTTGCAATCAAAACCACAAAATGATCAGTAGGACAAGATCTAGTCCAAATTATTATGATTTGAAAGTCTAGTTTAAGTTTTTTCTGTGACCCTTTCCTGTTACAATCTGGCGGCCATTTACATGGTTCATTGATTAATGTTAATATATAAGTTTCCATGGTCAGTAGGGGTACTACTTGTACAAGTAATTTTTATTTACTTGAAGAAGTAATATTAATATACTTATATAAGTAAATTTGTAGGATACTTATACAAGTGAATTTTATTTACTTGTATAGGTAAAAAAAAAATTGGCTTAGTTATGTCCCTTAGACATTCAGATTTTTTTACTTATATAAGTGAAAAAGTCATCCTATCTTCTTTTCTTGAATTCTTAGGATTTCTTTGCTTTAATAGAATTTTAAATTGTCTGCCCTTTGCAGTTGTCTTTACTAATTATTTAAGTGTAATTTTATGGACAATGGATATCCCATTTGTCTGTTATCTTCAGAACACTGCTCATTTACAAGCCCCTAAGGAGCAATTTTTGAAGGCCTTGCACAAATACTTAAGATCTTTGCGCAATCAGTTTCTTTGTTGAATTAATGAGATGAAACATTGAACTCTAATAAAAAATTATGAGCTAACCTGGGAAAAATCATTAAAGGCATGTTTTTACATCTCAAAACTTGAGAATTTTTGTGGGATTGTAAATATAATTCACTTATACAAGTGAATTTTTGAGAAAATTCAGGGGAGATTATTCAAACATTATAATTAACTTATACAGGTATATTTTTTTTACTTCTTCAAGTAAATAAGGATTAGTTGTACAAGTAGTACCCCTGACTGATGGTATTGTCCATTTATCAGATACTAGAAGCAATTGGTCAACTATATATGATGTGTATGGAATAATTGGAAGATGTACATTGTACATGTCTCTCTGGTAGGGTTCATCTGACCTTGATCTTATTTTCATGGTTCTTTTGTTAATGTTACTATAAGTTTTCAGGGTTATCCCTATTTCTCAGGTACTACATGTATAATTTATAAGCAATAGGTTAACTATTGGGTATATGCAATAATTGCATGGTGTAAATGTTGTCTGACCTTGACAATGGGAAACTGCATAATACTGCAACCCAACAACATAATCAATTATAAAACATCTAACATACCATGGATTTTTCTAGCATTCCACAGGGTCTGATATTCACCTAAACTATCTCAAAATTTCAAATGGAAATAAATCTGGTAGTTAACCTTGCCAAAATTAAACTACGCTCTTTCTTTAATGGGGAAAAGGGCAGTAAATCCTTATCAGATGTGTGCTTTAAGACTACTACATGTATCATGACTATCTACAGTGTTGATATTCCATAACCTGTTAGCTACATCCATTTGATATATCTTCAGTACCATCAACAGTGGATATTTCCTAACCTGTTAGCTATAATGTAAATTCATTTGATATATCTTTAGTACTATCTACAATGTGGATATTTCCTAACCTGTTAGCTACATCCAATTAATATATCTTTAGCATGCATGTTTAGTACCATCTACAGTGTGGATATTTCCTAACCATCCTACATCCATTTGATATATATTTTTATCATATATTTAGTACTTGTTATTGCGATTTTGAATATTTGATAAAGATGGAAACTCCAGACCTCTATGGCATTCCCTGTATCACACCTCCTGTATCTTAACCCTGTATCACACCTCTTTTGGATCATCTCGAGACTGTTTTTGGAAGTCCGCAGTGGTTATTCACTTGAAATTTCAGCAGACGCCAATGTGGGATACATGTATGTTAAACCTCTTGCTGCCGTGGGACACGTGCCCATTAATAAATTATGCAAGCACTTGTTTATCACTGCATCTCTTTCAAATAAAACTTCGAAGATTACGTAGTGTAATCTTTTTCTTCAATAGGTCTCCAATGTAACATTATCAAGGATAGACAAGGCATGACGTCATATATCGAATAACGTCAAAGTTAGTAGATATAAGAAGATGTGGTATGAGTGCCAATGAGACAACTCTCCATCCAAGTCAAAATTTATAAAAGTAAACCATTATAGGTCACAGTACTGTCTTCAACACGGAGCCTTGGCTCACACTGAACAGTAAGCTATCAAGGGCCCCAAAAAATTACTAGTGTAAAACCATTCAAACGGGAAAACCAACGGTCTAATCTATATAAAAAACGAGACATACATGTATGACGTCCAGTTGCTGTATTTCCTGGCATGCTTTGATATGGAACCACATTTAATTAGCGACTACAACAAGTTTAAGACACAGTCCGCGAACAGTGGAAATGGGAGAAGAACAGAATTTACTTCAGCCATACCTGAAGGTTGCATTTCTGTAAATATTGAAAATGCAATTTCCCATTGGAATTCCTTTTACGGTTAAAACTGTACCACTTTGACTATGAAGTTTTGAAAAAAATCATATCCTAGAATGGAAAGTTCATATGCACTACAATTTTTTTCAAAGGTCAAAATATAGGGCTGTGCTGCATATTTTCATTGTTTATTTGCCCCGAACTTCTAAGAGTTTAAACTAACACTAAATTGCTTAACTATCCCTACTTTGACTGTAGGATTACCACAGATTTCAGTATAAACAATATGCATATGTATATTTACTGGTAACATTCCCAAGTTATGTCTCTACGAGATGAAACCTAGAGAACATAACTGGGAACCAGTATGTAAACAAAATTAATTATCTATGAATATTCTATATCTCCCCAAAAGCGGCGTGGTTTGAGAAACAGCTGTATTTACAAAATGCAACCTATACAAACATTTATTCCAATAGAAAACTCTCTGAAAACACTTTTTCTCACATTAAAACTTATTTATGAGAATTATAGCCTTATAAAAATCACTGCATAAACTCTAAGTTTTCTTTTACCGTACATTTTATACCCCCTCCCCCGTTTCATTTTTTTAAAGAATTTGAAAACAAGACTTAAATTATTGCCAGCTTACCCTATTTGCATGTTTTCTGACATGAAATGCCTAGAACCTGTTTAAAACTGTTCTCATAACATATTGAAAGCATTTCAGAATAAACAGGCTATTATTTGAACTTGGAATTATTTTTAATTATGGAATTTGCATAATTTCTTGTGCTTGAAATTTTTAATGAATTCCATGTTTATTCTGTATTATAATGTTTTGAGCGGTGCATAACACTTTCCACACAATGTATTTTGTATAGATAGTGTTGTGCGCGGCACAGTACATTCTATTGAAAATGTGCTATATTCTTTGTAATAAAAAGTGTTGTGCGCCGCACAGAACATTAAAATACAGAATAAGCATAAAATTTATTAAAAATCTCAAACACAAGAAATTATACAAATTTCATAATTAAAAATAATTCCAAGTTCAAATAATAGCCTGTTAATACTATAAATGTAATGTTTAGCAGTCAATCATTCCAACATTCAAGATTATATAAAGTATCCAATCATGCCTGTGTCTCCAGTCCACATTTTACTGTATGCCTATTTGTTAATGAAAGTTCATAAATTCTGCCTCAAATGGTCAGTTTAGAATTCTTGTCACAACAGTATCATCTCTAACCATATATCTGACATAATTTAGCTAATATATGAGCTAGAAGTGTTAAAACAAAGCCATATTTGCAATAGTTGTATGTATGCAGATACCAGTCTGATGTATAAATTCACTTTAAATTTAATAGAAATAACTGCTAACATCTGAGTTTTGCATAACTTCCAAGCACAGTTATTGTTTTCTATATAAAGACCTTTAAAATCATAAAATCATAGCATTAACAAGTTAAATTATTTGTTTTATGACCCAGGGGTAGGCAATTTTCTCTTTTTTTTGCCCCTGGGCCTCAAATTTCCTAAATTATTCTGCTGTTTCTAGCAATATAGAATATTTAGTACATATTCAGGATAGAACACACTATTGTAAGTTTTGTTGAGATATTTTTGAATTTCTAGCTTGTATTTTTTATGCCGCTGTGACAAAAAAGCAGATTTAGGCGTTACAGCTTACTTTTGGGTTATCGACAGGACAAAAACACCCCACCAATAATATTCAGGAAGGATCTATGAGTTTCAATGACTGCGAAGAGTAAATATAAGTACTTCTAAACAATTTAACTTACAAATATGCATATATTATGAATTTATTTTGCATTCAGGGCTTTAAGTAAACTATGCATAATGTAAACTGTGAATTTATGCTGAGTCATCACAGTTAAGGCCCAGGATTTTTTCAATCTTCATGAAATATTTATAAAACTTCATATTTGAGTTAATTTCTTTAAAATCTGTGAGATAAACCAAATTTGGTTAAATTCTGTATGTTCTCTTTTTTCACCCAATATAGGTTGCATTTCTGTAAATATTGACAATGCAATTTCCCATAGGAATTATAATTTCCAACGGTTCGATAGTATAGTGGGAAATTACTGTAATAACGGTACTAGTGATTACTATTGATACGGGTACTTCGTATGTGCACGTATATATATACATATCACGTGATATTGATATTTAGCGGGAA